GTTCTTTTTCTGTTTTAAATTTCATTGATACCTGGTCTTTATTATTTCCTTCCTTCTGCTTACTTCAGATTTAACTTGTCTTCTTTCGTTTCTTAAGGAGGAAGCTTAGATTCCTGGGTTCAGATCGTCTTCTTTTTCCCATATGAACACTTAATGCTACAAATTTCCCTTCAAGCATTGTTTTAGTATGTCCCACATATTTCACATTGTCTTTCCATTTCGTTCAGTTCAAAATGTTTTTATTTCATTTGAGACTTCCTCTTTGACCTGTGGATTATTTAGAAGTATGTTATTTAATTTCCAGACATTTGGGGATTTTCTTTCTAGATACCGTTGTTACTGATTTCGAGTTTAAACCACTACGTTCAGAGAATAAATTCTGTATGATTTCTGTCCTTCAGAAATTTTTAAGGTTTGTATTATGGCATAGAATATGGTCTATCTTGATGAATGTTCCACGTGCCCCTGAGAAAAATACGTACTATGTTGTTGTAGGGTGAAGTGCTTCATAAACATCAATTAGGCACATCTTGTTGATAGTGTTGTTCAGGTCTTCTGTATCTTCACTAATTTTCTGTCTACATCTTTTATCAATTACAGAGAGAAGTGTGTTGAAGTCTCCAACTATGACTATGGGTTCGTCTATTTCTCCTTAATAGTTTTATCAGCTTTTGCTTCCTGTATTTTGAAACTGTTAGGTGCATAAACATGTAAGATGGTACCATGTTCTTAAGAGAATCAAACCCCTTATCATTTTGCAACCTCTCTCTAAAACCCTAGTAACATTCCTCGTTCCGAAGTCTGCTTTGTGATATTAACATCGCTTTCCATCATTCTTTTGGTTTGTGTTAGTGTATCTTTTCTAGTCTTTGGCTTTTAACATTTTTTTTTTTTCAAAATGGGTTCTTGTAGATAGTATACAACTGATCTTTTCATCCAATTTGACAATTTCTGTCCTTAAATGGTATACTGAGATTATTCACATGTAATGTGATTACTGACATTGCTGGATTAAAATATACCAATTGCTAGTTGTTTTCTATGTGTTCCCTTTGTTATTCAATTTTTTATTAAAAGAAATTTTTTTTAGAAGTGGAGTCTTCCCTGTTGCCCAGGCTGGACTGGAACTCCTGGGCTCAAGCGATTCCCACCCTTAGCCTCCTGCGTTGCTGGGACTACAGGCACATGGCACCACACCCAGCTCTAGTTCCATTTTTTTGGTTTGTTTCTTTTTTCCACCTTTTTTGCCTCATTTTGGGTCATGTCTTAAAAGTTCCATTTTGTCTCCTCTACTGACTTATTATATGAACTTTTCTAAAAATTTTTCTAATTTTGTTTCTCTGAAGTTTCCTGTATATATTCTTTTTTTTTTGAGACAGAGTCTCACTGTGTTGCCCGGGCTAGAGTGCTGTGGCATCATCCTAGCTCACAGCAACCTCAAACTCCTGGGCTCAAGCAATCCTCCTGCCTCAGCCTCCCGAGTAGCTGGGACTACAGGCATGTGCCACCATGCCCGGCTAATTTTTTTCTATATATTTTTAGTTGTCCAATTAATTTCTTTCTATTTTTAGTAGAGACGGGGTCTCGCTCTTGCTCAGGCTGGTTTCGAACTCCTGAGCTCAAACAATCCGCCCGCCTCGGCCTCCCAGAGAGCTAGGATTACAGGCGTGAGCCACCGCGCCCGGCCCCCTGTATATATTCTTAAATACTCAGTGTCTACCTCCAAATAATATTATGCTGTTTCAAATACAGCGTGAGGACCTCACAACAGTGTGCTCCCAATGCCCACCCCCATGTCTGCAGCACTGGTGTCACGTAATTTACTTGTACGCATGCTGTAAATGCAGAATGATATTTTTACTTTAGTTGGTTATCTTTGAGAGCAATTAAAACATAAAATTCATTTCATCTTCATCTATTCCATTACCAGTGCTTTTCACTTCTTTGTGTAGACACAAGTTTTTATCTGGTATCATACTCCTTCTGCCTTAAGAAATTCTAAAGGAATAATAAAGAATAAGTCTGCTGTAAATAAATTTCCATAATCTTTGTTTGGGAAAATCTTTATATTGTCTTTACCACTTAAAGATATTTTTCGCTAGGTACAGAATTCTGTGTTGACAAGTTTTTCTTTAAAGACATTACTCTGTTGTCTTTTTTTTTTTTTTTTGAGACAGTCTCACTCTATCACCCAGGCTGGAGTGCAGTGGTGCAATCATAGTTCACAGTAACCTCGAATTCCTGGGCTCCAGCAATCCTCCTGTCTCAGCCTTCCAAGAAGCTAAGACTATAGGCACGTGTAACTATGTTCAGCTAATTTTAAAATTTTTTTGTAGAGATGGGGTCTTGCTACGTTGCCTGTGCTACTCTTAAAACTCCTGGCCTCAAGTGATCTTCCTGCCTTGGCCTCCCAAAGCGATAGGATTACAGGTGTGAGCCACCGCTCTGGCCTCTATTGGTTTTTTTGGGGGGAAGGTTTTTGAAAGAAATGTCTATTGTAATTCTTTGTTTCTCAGTATGTAGTCTTCTTTCCTCTGGCTGCCTGCAAGATTTTCTTTGGTTTTGTTTTCATCAGTTTGAATATAACATGCTCTTGGGTTTGGTTTTTGTTTTGTATTTAACTTACTTGAATGTTCTTTGGATCTGTAAAAATTCTTGGCCATTATTTCTTCAAATATTTCTTCTGAGATTCCAGTGACACATATGTTAGATGCTGTTTGTTTCATTTTCTCTGTTTCAGTCTGAGTAATGTTTGAAGCAATCTGTCTCTGAGTGCACCCGTTCTTCCCTTGGGGTGTTCAGTGCCATCAAAGACATTTTTCATCTCTGGCATTTGTAACGTTTCCATCTTATCTTTATCTGATGCTCCATTTCTATGCTGCAATTACCGAACAAGTCTTGCGTACGGCCCACCTTGCCCATTAGCCTTTAACGCATCACTCATAATCATTCTCACTTTCCTGTCAGACACTTCCAACTTCTGTGTCATAACTGAATGTTGTTCTGAGGACTGCTTTGTCTCTTGAGAATTTTTTCTTTTTCTTGCCTTTTTTTATGCTTCATAATTTCTTGTTGAAAACTAAGTAACTTGTGTAAGACGGTAGAGATCGGGCATGCCTTTCCTTCGTTAGACTAGTGTTTGAATTAATCTAATTAAGTTCTTGGCCAGGTTTGTGATTTGTTGTTGCTATGGTTGATAGAATATAATAGAGCTATCGATTTCCTCTAGCTACCCTTGGTGCTTCAGGCGGTAGCTGGAATTTTTTGTTTTTTCTCTATATCTGCTCCACTGTTGACTCTTGGTCTTCCTCTTGCACTGTGCCTTGGAGAGGGTCTATCTTTTGCAAATTCCTCGATTCAGTTAGCCAGTGCACGGTGACCCAGTGCCTGCATCTCGCTCCTCTCTGCAAGTGTGTCTTTCTCCTTAGATTTTGGGCCTGTTGGCTGCCTTGTAACCTCAGCACTCTGAAGAGGTCAAGAAAAATCATGAACTTACTGTCTGGCTTTTTTCATTATAAGTCTGGGGTGATGCTTGTTTCAGCTCTCTATATCCCTGAGCAGAAACTGGAAGAAATCTCATTCCGAATCATTTCGTTTTATGGGTCGTGTTCTCTCATGTGTTCTATCACTCTAGACATGGAACATTCAATTTATCCTGATTTCCCCACTTATTTCTCTTGCAGCTGGCATCTGTTCATGTAGCTGAATGGGCTTTACATACATCTTTTTCCTTGCCCTCCCATGTTAACTTTTAAAATCTCCCTTCTTATTCTGTTTTAAAAGCATTACCTGCCCTTGTAAGACAGGTAAACATATGAACTTAAAATCTTATCTTGTTGGCTCTAGTACCCTATATATAAAATGTGTAGACAATGATCAGTTAGCACTTTCCTTTCCCTTGGTATATATCTCTACTCAATTTCTAACATTTAAATCGTAACATTTTTAAGTTCCATCTTCACTTCCCTTGAGTAAGGAGTACTAAAGACTTTCTAAAGTACTAAAGACTTTAAACTTGTAGGTCTCAAAATGTTAATAAAATCAAGACACGCAAGAAACATTAGTCCTCCAAAGGTATGCCAAATGACAACAGATCTTCCTTCTCCACCAAAGTCACATCCTATGCGTGCTATTAGAGCCAAACATAAGCATCTACCTAAGTAGTGGGAACGTTTCAGATTCTAAAGTAGCTGCGTAAGCAGAGTTACCTGTAGCTTAAATTTTACAAAACAGTGAATGATGGAATATTGCTGTCGACTTAAATAGCCTTCAGGAAACAGTACGAATGGTATTACCAAGTCAATTGTAGATGATGGGAATAATGCAGGAAGTGAGAAAGGAAGCTATTCTGAGATGACACAGAGGTCAGGATGACAAACTGTGATACCAGCATGAGATCCCAGGCCAGGACAGCTGTGAGTAGGACTGACTACCAGACAATCAAGAAAACATTTAGAAATTTTACCTTTAAGACCTCCCCAAAACTGTGCTCTGTCAGGACACAGAATAACGATATATAGCAAAAATGGTATTTAACATAAATTCTTTTGCAGAGAGGGAGTCTGGTGGTGTCAAGGGACCAAAAAAAAAAAAAAAAAAGAAAAAGCTGTCATTCCTACCTTGTGCCCTTACACGTAACAGCAGGAGAAACAAATGGAATGCTTAGCTTCCTATCAAGGCAAAAAGAAAAAACTACAGGAAAGTATTTGCTACATGTGGAGAGAGTCCTATGGGCTCTGTATGGTTTGAACATGTGTGTCCCCCGAAAATTCATGTCAGAACTTAAACACCAATGTGACAGCAGTAACAGGGCCTTTAGGAAGTGATTATGTCACGAGGGCTCTGCCCTCACGAATGGGATTGTTGACATTATAAAAGGGCTGGAAGGAACTAGCTAAGTCCCTTTTGTGCCGTTCCCTCCCTCTGTCACGTGAGGACACAGAGTTCATCCCCCACCCCACTAAGGATGCGACGTTCAAGCACCGTCTTGGAAGCAGATCCTGGCCCTCACCAGAGATCAGCACCCTGATCTTGGACTTCCCAGCCTCAAAAACTGGGAGAAGTAAGTTTCTGTTGTTTATAAATTATCCAGGCTCAGGTGTTTTGTTGCAGCAGCACAAACTAAGACAGGGTCCCAGTGACATCACCTACGGGAAAAGCAGTTTGATTTTTTGTGGTGTAAATCATGTCAAGTACTGAAAAATATAGCTATTATTGACCTTAGACAGGAAATTTCACCCCTACTATGTAAAGTGCCTACATTTCAAAATGACAAATATCACTAATAACATTCAGGTGTCCAAAATCCATCACAACTTTGAAAACCATCTTAATTCAGGGAGAAAAATGAAGAGGAAGTTAGATAAATTAAAATGTCAATCTAATTTGATCTCTATATTACAGAACTTTCCTATGCTATATAATGTAGTTGGGTTAACTTTTCAAAATGATGCCAATTAACAGGACTGATCCAATTCTTTTGGAGTCCTCTTTACCTAGTATCTGAGAAAAGTAAACATCTATCAAGAAAAAAGCCAAAGTTTTTCATTCAATTTAGGTCACAAAATATTCTCCATTCATTTGAAATGATAGAAAAGGATTATAATATGCTTTATTATTTGAAATGCATTCTAAAATTAACTCTTTTGGTTTATAGACAGTTCATGAAAGGGGGGAAATCTATGAATTTTCTGGTATTTTCGGAAAAGTTAAGTCTTCAGTAAAAGCGTACTGAACTACGTTCTAACAGCATTTGGCTTTCAGAACAGCATCTGCTGCTGTCGTTATTATCATTGTTACTACCGTTATCTGGGCAAACAAAGAAACATGGAAAGCAGCAACACAGGTTCATGGCTTTATGCTCATGGCTCACATACATGACGTCTAGGCAGAAGATGACAGCCCGTGGGAGATGACAGCCCGTGGGAGGAGATCCTTGGGGCTGCCCTGCTGACTCACCACCACCAAGAGGTTCTGTGTGTGTCCCCATCGCTGGCTTGACTGACGATTTGGTCATTGACTCAATGTAGAGCTGCTGACCCAGATTCTTAATTTTGTTTACACTGGCATAGACCTGCTGCAAGGTCATCTTAGGAAAAGGAATGATAAAAATGTTTCAAAAATCATAAAAATGTGCATTAAAAGATACATAAACAAAATAAACTTAACTTCTGGTTCTCTGGAGACATAACAACTAAAAGCACAGCAATCACTTTAATTCAGTTTCCCACTGTGCCAGGTACACAGATACCAACTAACTGTCTTTTCACACCACCGCCCACCCAGAATGGATCACAGCGCCTCTCATCAGACGAGGGCGTTCAGTCACGAATACACGCTAAGACGGGAACACAACGCGCGCCCGCTCACCGGCTCCCTGTGCGTCTCCTCCACGCAGCGCCCGCTGGCCTCGCTGGAGGACGCGGCGCTGACGAGCTGCTCCTGTGAGCCGCTGCTTCCCAGGCTGCCGTAGCCGCTGGAAGCGCTCGCGTGCACGGGCTGAGGGGACAGACGGGGCCACGCTCAGAGTTACTGGCGATCGAAATGGCGGCATTACCTACCTCAGAGCTGATCTAGAATCGTCCGAAAATGAAGAGCAAAATTTCGGAAATCCTAAATTAAGTGTGTATAGCTTGATGCGTTTAACCCTCCTGCTGTCATGAAAGGCATTCCTCTGTCCTTTCAGTAATTCTCAAGGGCAAAGACTTGCTTTCTAGTCTGGGTAGGTATTTCTGGGACAACGAATTTTTAAAAAGCCATAGTACAGTTAATTTTTAAAAACATGAAAATAAACTCTAGCTCTTTATGCCAAGTTTAGAAGAAAACAAATTAAATATATACCATACTTTTTTTCTAAGAACTTTACAGATGCTTCATGCACCCTAGAGATTTTACAGGAGACATTTTGAAAACCACAGAGAACAGTTATTCTGTGTGACTCTGTGAGTTTTATTTACTACTATCTCACTGACTAATCTGTAGTGGAAACCATCTTTGGTATTTCTTTTCAACAAGTAATTTTTCCCACTTTTACCTTATAATAGCTAAAGAAATTGAGACCTACCATCCCTCTCCTCCCACCTTCAAAATTGGAATTGTTTTAAAAAATACAGAAGCCAAAACTCGCAGGCTGAGCACACTGGTGGCATTTGGAATGCAAGAAGAATCCTCTCACACAGCAGTAACTTTTCTGTCCTATTGCTTACTGTGACTCAGTTTGCTATCTTAAAACGAGTTCTTAAAAAAATGTTCTGAGCATTTAACACAGAATAATGAACAAAAAATTAATAAAACTTAATTTAAAAACAAAAAGAGAACGACAAAAATTTCAGAAATGTAGATGGTAAGGATTTCTTTCTCCTTACAGTTTATTTTTGTGAAGTGACTTTACTAAGACTAAATGTTAAAACATGATTACGGGAATTTTGTATTTACTTTTTTAAAATCTCACTTTACCTGCAAGAGAAGTTTGTGAATTTGTTGTTGTAATTCTGTTATGTCTTTGTCATTACTGTTCATCTTTTTTATTCTGGTAGCAAAAACATCCTCATTTAGTGGACTCCTACAAAATGCCAAGTGAAAGATTGAGTCAAACAATTTAAGATTCATCTACAAGGAAGTCTGAAATGATTTTTAATATTCGAAGAATAAATCTATGTTTTTACAAAGCAACTCTGTGACTATAAATATAGAAAATATTAAGTTAGAATTCTATTTATGGAAGTATAGAAAATGCTAAGAAGCAAATGAGATATTAATAGGCTTCTTAAGTTTCTCTATAGCACTGATCTTTCTGCAATTATTTCAGCAATACATATGCATAAATCTAAAATTAGTGACAAGTAACCTGCCTAGCTACTAAAATATCTATGACAATGACTGGCTTCAAAATTTGACATTAACTGTGTAACCTACTGTGAGAATTTTAAGACCCTAAATTTGCCACACAACGTTTAATGTTTATTGCATCCGACCACTTAAGCTATCTAAAAAGATGATTCTGTGCCCCACCCTAGTGGGGAAGCTGTGGCTGTTACAACACCTTTAATCTTATTTATATTCGAATTCTAGAGCACTTTAAATCTACCCCCTGAGGACAGTAAATGACAGATACGCCAACAAAGAGATCACAGAGAAGGAGCTAACATTTATTTAGGACCTTCTGTGTGACAGGACCTGTACTAGTTTTCACAATATACAATGAGAAAAACTAACATTTTCAAAACGCTTACAATTCCAAGTGCTTTACATTGATTACAATCCTTGCCCTGGTCGCCTAGCTGGCAAAGGGTAAGCGGTATTCACAGAGGGACCAGAGTCTAGGCTCCAGAGTCCACACTTGTCGCCACCGCACTGTACTGCCTGTCAGTACCTTGGAAAAGCAAGTACTAGCAATGAGGTATACTGAGTCAATACATCATCTCACTGAGTCCTCACAACAGTCCTCGCAAGTACGACTTATTCCTGACATGGAAAGTCAGGAATAGAGGATTAGAGTCTGAGGAACTTGCCCAAGTTCACATAAGCAAGAAGCAGCAGAGGCAGGATTTGAATTCACACGTCTGACAGCAAAGCTGTGCTTTCCTTTTGCCATTACGCCAGCCTGCTGACTCTCACAATTTGTCATGCAACTCAGTTACCTAAAAACTGAAACATTTTCCAAAGGCAGAAATCATTATATATATAAAAAAGTCATAGAATGTTGGCAGTGCCATAAAAGTAGTCAGGAATAAGTTCACGTGGAGACTACCCACTCATCATGCACGGTCCGCCATCACCGCGGACAGCTGTCCCATCCACCTTTATCTCATGGTAGGGGCCAGCGTCGGTGGCAAACTACCTGAATACCCTGCCTTATTCCACGACCCGACATACTCGCCTTTTACGGAATTGTTTTGTAGGTTGTCTGGCCCTCCCTGTTTCCCACCACCGTGTAAGCTCCATGGGTCAGGTTTTTTGCCTATTTTGTTCACTCCCGTAACTCTAGTGCCTAGAACAGTGTCTGTCTGGTCCACAGCGAGCACCCACTAAATATTTGTTAAAAGAATGAATAATACATAAATGAATGATCAGTGTGGGACTAAAAGTACATCTGAATCCTAATATAAATACATCCTGCATGTTACGAGCCTGAAAATCTTTCAGAGATACTTGGATTTTGTTTTTTAAGTGAAATTCTGAAATAGAAATAGAATAGACTGCTTCATATATACTATGATACTTAGACATACCTAGTTGTGAAAATTTTTACAAAACTAAATTGTGTATTTAATTATTAATTACATAACTCAAAACTTATTAATCTGCAGGTGACAGACAGCCTTCATCAAACAAGCGTCAAAAAAGCTCTGATGTAGTATGCTGCCTCCTACGTGAGGGAACCAGGAGTGAGAAAGAAAACCTGGCTTCCGTCTTCACTTTCAACTTCTCCCCTAAGCGATCCCTGGGAAAGTGACTCTACTTCACCGAGTGCGGATTTCACCTGTAAAATGGGAGGTAACATTACCTACGGGTTCTAACCTGTCTGCCCACGGTGGGAAGAACCCACAGAGACACACGGTGAGGGTTCCCTGCTAAACGCTCTCCCAGCCCCCTTCACGTTTCCACCGCCACGCTTCCCAAAGCTCTCGGCGTACGCCGCAGCGCTGGTTTTACTGTCTCTCCCGTTACAATGCGGGTTCCACGACGGTAAAGAGAACGTTCGTTTATTATCTCATTCTAAGGGTCTAGCACAATGCTTTACCCAGAGTAGGCAACTTATAAACACTTATTGATGGCATAAATGCATTAAAATTAACTTCGCAAATATAATGGATGATTATTGTTTTATGAGAGATAGTAACACCTGCTGAACCTTAAGTTCTTTCCCTCACTTAACCTTTGTTCTTGAGATGTAAATATTGTTATAATTTTTAAAAATACTGAAAACATTCTGGGTATGTCAGGTAACTTCGTATGTATTTAATCAGGGAACTGCAAAGACGACTCGGGAAATCTAGGACACATCTCTAGCACTGACAGAGGTGGGGAGAGTAGACCAGTCAATCAGCCCCACAGGGATGTCTCATGAGAGGAACTTCCTTGCTCTGGGGCTTTCCACATTCACACTAAGCAACCATCCGCTTTTATTTTCACTTCTCATAGGCTTCTCACTAGAGGAAAAAAGTCCTTTCTGACCAACACAAATAGCAATTACTTAGCAGTAATATTTCTCATTTTAATTATTAAATTTGTTTTCTAGCACAGATCAGGCTCATGAGTTAGGGCGGCAAGGAGGCCATTTCTTCCATTAACGTTCTAGACTGGCTCTGTACAGAGGCCAAACCCTAGAGTACAAAGAGGTAAGAACAACCTTGAGACTTTTTCTCACCGTAAGTATGCATCATCTCTACTATAATATTATTAATAACATGTGATTAAGTAAGTCTTACTGGTATGGTAGAGCTACTGTTCTCGGTTTTATGCTTACGTATACAATACTGTATAAAAAGTTAGTATCAGTCTGAGTCTCATGATACTAAAGAATTAAGGGAAACCTCGTGGCCAGGTCAAAAGACCTATAGGTCAATTAAAAATGGACCCAAAAGTCAAGGGACTAGGAGTATTTTAGGCTACGAGCAGTAGTGGGCCAGGTTGTTCTCTTTTACGTGATTCTGTTACATGGCAGGTTAACAGCAAGCAAATGAGCTGGAGTTACGCATGCTAGAAAAGAAGGATTAAAGAATCTAATTTTTAAAAATAATGACTTAATAAAATACACACAGTACATGGAATCTGAAGCAAAAGGCTGATATAAAAAGTTTTACATGCTCACTAAAAGGATCTTTAAAATAAAGAGAAAGCAAAAAAAAAAAAAACCCTCATTCATAGTTCCACTACATACACAAACCCAAAATTCACATTTTGTTTCCTTTCAATCTTCTTTTCCCTATTTCACAGTTTGTGTTTGTGTGTTTTAAACATAATTATAATCACAGGTACAAATAATTTTATAGGCTGCTTTTTACATCTAATGTGTCAAACATTTTCCCATGTTATCTCTGCAAAAATTTTTATCGACCAAATAAATAATACATCAAACAAATATTCCAGAGTTTACTTAATGATGGACATTTAGGTTAAGTCTGACATGATTTCTTTTAAGGCTCTTGGTACATATTGCCAAACCATCTTCCAAAAACACTGAAAAAAAAATCCGTGCTTTATTTAGTTCATGTGTCAGTTGATTCAAGCGGGAGTCAATGAGCTAAGGAATACTACTTGATAAAAGAGATTTTTAAAAAATACGAAAACTGATTGACTTACGTTTGAACTTTATGCCGACCAATGATGAAAGAAACCTTCCGGCTCCAAGGGTTCACAAAGCTGGACCAACTGGAATCCAGTATGATGTAATCTCCATTTTGAGTACAAAATCTAATGGGAGAATGTTCAAAGGGAGGATGGCCTGCATACTTCAAGACTATATAAAATAATAAGACCAAAATAGAATTTATTCAACACAGATATTAATTAGAAATGTCCTGTTTTAGTTATTTATTTGGAAATTTATGTTTAAATAGAAAACAATTGTACTAACAGTTTCAATACATGGTCTATCTGGTTAAAGTGTAGGCTCTAACGAGAAATGAGAAGGAAAATTAGAACAAATCAATAGTAAAAAAATTTCTTCCTATAAAGAAGTAGGTTCTTACCTTTTTGGTGTATGGCAACCATCAGAGAACGATCTTCTGGGTGCAAGTATGTTAAGATCGATGTTCCGATCAGGTCCTGAGGTAGATAACCCAGCAAAGGCACCGCTCTGGGATACAGAAACACAACACAGCATGTTACGCTCATCAAGTAATTTTTATACTTTATATGCTTTTAAAAATACTTCTTTATTTTATTCTGAATATGAAAAAATTTTATGCAACAGATGTTCATTACAGCATTTATTAATATAAATGCAACAAACAACCTAAGTGCTTATTCTGTGGGGAAATGGCTACGTAACCTAACAAATGTGGTCATCTGACATACTGCATCCAGATCATCTAGGGAGCTTGCTAAAAATCAGATTTGCAGGCTCATGCTAAGTTTACTAAAGCAGAATCTCAGAGGTAAGAGCAGAGATGTGTATTTTTAGCAAGTGCCTCAGAGAATTCTGATGC